TTGGTGTGGCCTAAGAATTGGGTACCCTAATTTTCATGTCATACATTAAGTTTGGGAGTTTGTCAGATCAAGATGTTGCTACATTAGTATTGTGTACTGGATTAATTTTCCTGCTCATTTAGTGGAATTCTAATCTGTGCTGCAGTTACTGCTGAATTTCATCTACTCACTTTATACATGTACATTAATAACACATTGATCAGGTCAATTGCATCATCTCCGTGCCAAACTTTTGTCCACATTTAGAAATTTGCGCCACGGTAACAGTAAATCTGAATTAAATGCAGGGAGAAGTGTTAGATTTGATTAGATTTATCCTTTGGTATGTTGCCAGCTGAGTTAGATAGAAGACACACTTTGTATGCAGATATGGACATTAGCAACAGGTAGATAGAGAGAAGCATATAAGTCAGCGTCAGTGACTTATCAGTATGCCACACACTGCTCCAGTTGGCATCACCAGCCTGGAACTAACTGTTACAACTTCATTTTCATACACTGTCCGCACGAATGGTTTCTGCTGAGCCGGGGCTTAGGAATAATATTGGAGGCAGGGGAAACAAATCTGCTGTATCCACTTAAAAAAAAATATGTGTTGCATATTTCATCCTCTATATTTCAAGAATATTGTTATCAAAATATATCTGAAGTAAACTAAATAAAAACTTGTTTAGACACTAGAAACTAGCCTGAATTATGTTCTTTCTGGAGTATTTCATACTACATGCTCCCTCAAGTGGATACTGTGATAAGAGCATTACCTTCTACCTGTATTACTGTAAAAAGCTTTCAGTTCACTAGGCCCAACCATTACCAGTCTGTTATGCCCATTTGCCCAAGCCTGTCTTACTCAACATCAAATATTCCAGTCCCAGTTGACACTGATTATAGCTGTTACTAGACGCTTGGCCTCAGCAATGAGTAAAGATCTTGAGAAAGGCATGTAATATATAACTATGAGAAATATGGTATGTTCAACTTTGAAACACAGGATAGCTTTGCCATATTGTTTTGTATCAAATATTTCTTTTTAATTTTTAACAAAAAATACTAAGACTTTATAACAGTGGCCAGAATATAGCCAAGCTGCATCAGTAATCATGTTACATATAGTGTTATACTTTTTGTGAAAACCTACCTAAAGTTCAATAATAATGATAATACATTATACACTCATTTGATGAGAGTTTCACTGCTTTTTGTTAGAGCTATACATGTGTAGTTGGCAGATAGAGTAATATGGCCTTTTCTTCATTGAAGGTAGACCTAATGGAACAGTACAAAAAACTAACATGGAAAACTAAATGGCAACATAATGGGAAGTACAGTCATGGCCCTACAATTATTGTTCACCTTCATATCAAAAGTGTTGTCTTATACTTGAGAAGAGCATTGCATGCTTCACAATGTTGGACACAGTATTGTTAGGGAAGTTTGTCTCTTCACAATCTTATTTCAATGACCTGTGACCCCTATCTGTATGTAACAACATGCTTATCCTACATATTCTCAGAATATAGAAATCATGTAAAATGCATGTCTCAGCAACAATACTGAGATCATCATCTCTCATCTTGCAACATGTTTATACCCTAATAAACACACTACACAAATCCAAAATAATGCAGATGCACATTTCTTTTGGTATTTCAAACATCATTTTTTTCATCATTTTCAACTCCCAATTTTCTAACTTATGTAATCTTAGTAGAACTTCCATGAATTCAAATTGCTTTTTAAAACATGCTTGTTGTCAATACTTTCATTGTTAAATGTGCATTATACATTATTGATGTACAAAAGATATTTTTATCATTGACTAATACTGAAATTTGTTTGGCAAAGTGCAAATCATGTATGAACTACTAGTACATGTACAAAATGTACTTGGCAACAGTGGTCTGGTTCAATATGTGATGATACCATCACAGGAGCATCAGCTCCATACCTACTACTTTCAGCACTGGAATTCTCCACATTCCTGAGATATTCTGCTAACAACCATGCAGACAAGGACAGGGCAACATTCATTCCCTCTCTCAATACCATGCTTCAACAAAACATAGAGTTGAGAGGAAATAGAGACTGGAATTTCAAAAGACCAAAAACATGACTGAAGTGGTGCATATAGACAGGAGGTCACAGGTCTGAGACAGCAGAGATGTTTGGAAGTGTTAATGGTTCATCAGTGGTTACCAGGATTTTTCACTACATGTACCAGTAAATAGATACACTAATATTTATTTACACAAGGCTGTACACAAGGAACGTTTGTTAGTTGGATAGCTCTGGAGCAGTGGCATTATCCACATCCAGACTACTCAAGCCTCCCGAGGGCAGACCATCAGACACAGACTCCCTTTCCAACAAGGTCTCCTCCCCGTTAGATGCCATGTCTTGTAAGGATGGAGATGATGACCCATGACCTATCAGCATCTACAATAAACAAGCAGAGGAAGAGAGACCTTCAAAATGGGGAAGTTACCAATATGAGAGTTTTACCCAAGTTAAAAATTAGATTATGATCTAATCAGCAATAAATTTGTTTATCATCAGTATGGTCCAAAAGTTACAATATACAGTCACACACACACACACACACACACACACACACACACACACACAACAAGTAGGCAGAAACAGATAGAGAATAGTTGTGGTGATAGAATAGGAAAGAGAGAAGTGCATGAGAAAGAATGTGGTTATGTGTGTACTGCTGAATCTCACGAGGACAAATGGTGTATAGGGTTGTGTAAATTATGAGATCTGTGGCTTACCTGTGAGAGGACATTGCTCTGTTCTGTGACAGTTGAAGTTGTGACAGAGTGGTTATTCTGTAGACTGTCCACTTGATCTGCCTCTGTACTCACTGCATCCAACAGGTCACCTGGAGTAAACACAGGACTCTGTTTCTTACAAATACACTCAATTCCTCACCTCATCAACATATGCAATACACTGAATTCTCCACTTGACAAAATGTTTAACATAGACTGAGTATGGATAACATGTCAAAATGAGGAGGCCATGAATGAGATGAGCCTACCCGGTGCTTGTTCGCCTGTGGGTAACTGTTGATCTTGCTGTTGTGGGATGGATGTGATGAGAGAGTCAGGCCAAAACCTCTGGGTGGGACGGTGCTGAGGTTTGGCCTTCTTAGCTTTGGGCAGAAGGTCTGGATTTGTAGCATCAAGCATGGGCTGCAGTATTCTTCTACGGGCATTGATGAACCTGTCAAAACACTGCTGTTAACTTGGATGCAATTACTATAGATCGGCAAGAGTAACTTCATGATCTGTAGGTGAAATAGTACTAGTAATTTATGAAGGTGTATGACTGTTAAACAAAAAGCACAAAAAAGCACTTCCAACCTGTTCAATGGACAATAGCATATCAAATTTCAATATAACATATTCAACTAAATTTGTCAATACTCGAAATGCAACGTAAGCTGGAATAGTAGGCACTGACCAATTATTGACTTGTAAAAGTGTCAGGTTTGTCTGGTTGGCAATGGCTCGCTTCTCATCCTCAGTGGGGTAGGGATGCTGTAAGTGGGAAACATGTTAAATGCTATTGATATCACTGCTATTATTCCCCCTAAGGTCACTGCTAACTACATTGCAACATCATATCTGGCAACTAAAAATCTCAACAAGTTCTGACTTCAATGAGCATCTTACCACAATATGCTGAAATAACCAGGACCTCATGACATCTGTTGCCTGTTTAGGGAGAATGCCTCGCTTCCCATTTCGCCTCTTTAAGTCATCCTCAGAGCCAGGTGAGCCCTGGGGACTCTGTGCTGAGGCCACAGGATTGGTGGCAGTAGGGGTGGGGGGGCAGGCCAGCTGCTGTGGTACACCTTGTTGAGCTTGTACACCTATCTGTGGGCATAGTGCAAATGTGGCAGAGGTGTTAACAATCTCATTCAATTTTGAAATACAGTCAACAGTTTTATCAGTCAAAAACAGTCTGGATTGGAATCTTTGACCACAGTGAATGATTGTGGATGGCAAATCAGGCATGTTTAAGACAAAATGAAACATAATATCCTACTTTGCAAGAGCTAATGGTCAATGTTGAAAATGAAACATAAAACATTAGTCTGACACTCCTATATAAATCACTACCATGTTATTTACTTGAATTTTGTTTTAATTAGTTCCAATATTGAAGTCCAAATGCTATATATCATATTAATATCATAACTTGACATGCCTGCACAGTGTAATCACAACGTGAACTAACATGCAAATCAGTGTTGCTGTTGTTACCTGTGACAGTGGTGTGCTGCCCGAGATGATATGTGCTGTGCTGGTGGCTATCACCTGTGGCTGTTGCTGAACAGCCTGGGCTACAGGCTGCAGCTGTACAGTTGCTGGTAAGGACTGTTGTACACCATGTGCAACAACAGCTGGGGATGCCACCATAGTCACAGGCTGGTACAGCGTGCCATCTAAAACAAAAAGCCAATTTCAGTTGAATGATTCATACATAAAGGGCACCACAAAGAATTCTGGAGCTTCCCAACTCAGTAGTACCGGTAGATTATGAAGTTCAGTTTATAGAGCTGATCTAAAATCACAAATTCACTTTTGGACTGACTTCCCCCTGTAAATGCTCTCTCTCTAATTGAATTACATGAATATGGCAGGTAAAAAAATAGAATACAAAGTAAAACGTTTAGCCTCCGTTATTACAATCCACACATCTTACCTGCCACAACCATGGCACCTTGGTTGACTGCAGCCAGGCTGACAGTCTGACCACCCTGTGCCATGCCAGTCTGCAGTACCATCCCAGTGTTCAAGGTGGAGCCGTTTGTCACTGCTGTGACCAGAACCTGTGGCTGCACTGTCATCTGGCCATCCTGCAAAGACATTAACATACATTTGTAATTACTATCAGTTATTCGTACAGTATTTACAAAGATTGTGTTTGATGGGGTAAAACATACATCTAAAAATTTTATATATCTTATTTGCTGACTATCTGGATGATATTTTCATAAATATCATCAAGCATCTCATTGTTCTACCAATATCAAGCATGAAGCTGTTACAAAAAAGACAATCCGATGAAGGATTTGGGAGCACTACTTGGTCAGTGTGATCTGTGTATCACCTGTTGTGTGTGTACTTGTGTCTGCGGCTGCACCTGCGCCTGTTGTGTGCCTGGAAAGGATGCCAGGTCTGTCCTCAACAGGTTCTCACTCTGCATCTTCCCCTTCAGACAGGTGATGTAGCGGTTACAGAAGTCCTTACACAGCTCATTCACCTTCTCCAGCTCTAACAGGTGGATTCTTAACACCTGGATGGCCTTCACCATCTGCATGAGTAGGAATGGAAATACATTCAACTATTAGACTGTAATCCTCGATAGATGTACAATGGAATTGCTTTAGGACTGCTTTTCTAGGCTTCTACTAAATTTCGTCTTGTAGGTATCTTGGTTATCTTGTTTGCTAATGTTACATGTAAAAGAAGACATTTCTACCTACACTCACTTACAGAAATGCTTTCTACCTTACATGCTCTAGAGATACAGGTTCATCTTTTAAGGTATAAAGGTGCAGAAGAGATGATTATGTACATGTACAAATAATGTATGTGTCAACCGACCAGACTGTCCAACTCTGGGTCATCACTAAAAAATGGCTTCCTGTCTGCTTCTTGGTGTCGTACAAAGGCCTCTATATCCACATCAAAACTTGCAGATGATGGGCACTCTGTTGTCTGGGTGGCCTGCTCACATTTCTCAAACAACAAAGCCAGCAAGGGGAAGAGAGGATGCCTACAACATAAAGTAACGTCATCTTAAAATCAACTAACTTCAACTTAAAGTACAGAATGGTTTCATTATTATGTATTCATGGGCTTTTCCACAAACAATGTCGAACAAACTTTTAAGGAAGTTGACTGAACAGAAGGGAGCACTGACCTATACACTGCACGCTTGTCTCCATCCAAGTTGACTTGGGTATCACCTGCAGTTTGCTTGGGCTCCACAGCTGTGGTAGGTGGCGCTGTTTGTGGTGTGATGGGTGCTTGTTGCTGGTCTCCAAATGTAATCTTCCTGTCTGTACCCAACGTGCCCACACTTGTGACAGGAAATGTAGCTGCCTCATTATTCAATAGACTAACGTCAGTCCGAGAAGTCGCCATGGTTGCAACCATCAGACAACTGTGAAATATAAGCAACAACAAGTTTTCCAATATTCTAAAGTACCAGTTTTCAGAATAAATCTATGTTATGTATTATTAAATGACTAAATGGTAAGTTATGATATGTATTATTAAATGACTAAATGATAAGTTATGATGGAGATGATTCCTCAGAATAGAACAACCCTGCAACTTGTGGACTTGCTCTTAGTTCAGTCACGTTTGATAAAACCTATTATTGCTAATTTCAAGAGTGATGAACACAACATGGTAATGTTCCTATTCAGGGTTTCTGCCACTGTTACTGCTTTATATTTAATTCTCACAGGCAGATGATTACTAATATTACTTCTGGTATACCGTATGCATGTCTTGTCCCTATGAAGTACTGTACATGCATCTTGCTCTAGCTCACTGCATGCCTGCTACCCTAGCATCTCTCTCCCTTGTTGCCTGCTTGTGCATACCTTTGATGGTCACGGTTATTCCACTCTCCCTATCTCACCACATGATATATGCTGACTCTTCCCTATCTCTATGTGCAAATATTTTCCAAAGCCATTTTATGTTAGAAGTCGTTCATGTATGTCAGGGTACGACATTACCAGACGTGACATGTATGATTCAAGAAACAAGTCATGTGAGGTCAAGAAATTCCCAACATAGTCTACTCTAGACCAATATGTGTGTGGGTTGAAAGGGATGGGTAAGGTCAGGAAAATGCCTATGTAGACATTTTTGAATTTCCAGATGTCTTCTTACTGCTTGAATTTGATATTGCAAAGTATAGAAATCTTTTTTGAAAATGCAGATACATGTAGGCAAAACCATGCACACCATTGAGCTCACCTCCATGTAACTACTAGTATACTAATATAAGTATACTAATATACCTGTAATAATGATATCATACACTTGTTATAGTTGTTCTAAGCGACATATCCTTGTGCATACTTTTTGCAAGTTGAACATTTCCATACATAGTAACATATACCTAGTAGTAGTAGGTCTGCCTCGAAAACCGATATTATTAGGAAAGACAAACAGATAAAAAATAATACCATATGATGTAATATATTTATAATTCCAATAGTAATAATATTTGAAAGCCTCTTGCTTTAACTTGTCAAATCCAGGTTGTTAGAAGTTTTCCCACAATTTCCTAGTAACAATTTCCTACAAAATGCTGGTGTTTTTGCTTTTATCCCATTGAGATGGGAAGTTTGATTAATAAGAAAATGACTGCACAACAGTCATATTTTGGCAATATCAACCATATATTTAAATGATAATCTAACCTGGGCTGCTAATGGTCAAACTTATCTAACGTTAAGTGTTGAAATCTAAAAAAAAACTAAACTTTTGGTTTTCTTGGATAAAGGAAATAATTATAAAAGTGACGTTGATCTTGCAAACCTTGTAATCTTTAGACCTTGTTTTGCTTGACGAAACTTTGGAAGGAGGGTGAAAATTTGGATAATTTTTTATAATCTTTATGGTGGGCTGGGGTATTTTCTGGCATCATAAATCTAACTGTGCACAGCCTCCAAAATTTGAAACGGCAAACGTGGGCGACCCTTTAAAAAACAATTGGGACAATTCTTAGCTTTACAGACGCCAGACGGTGTAAATGATAAGACCGTGCAGGCCTGAGACCAGGAACGTAAAACCGCTGTGTGAGCAGTTTGACGCCCGCTGGTGCTGAGCGGCAAGCGCCAAACAGCCCCCCTCCCAATAATCGCCATCCTCGGCGATACAAACGGAATCGTTCTTGATGATCATGGCTACTAAATATTTGCCGCCAGCCCCTCCCTTTGATGTCTACCTCACCCCCTGATTAGGCACCGCTGGCCACACTTCGGCAGTCGCTACATTATAATGTTTGAGGTTGAGCTAATTATTTCAGACAAAACGCAGCCCCCGTTCCGAAAAATCTGGTGTGCCCGGGACGCACCGATGTCACCCCGGCTCTGATGCTACGCCGCGCTCTGTCCACTACCAAACCTTCCTACAAGCCCTGAATACCAAACGCGGCCCAAACTCTAAAGATGGCTAAAACACAAGGCGACCAAACACTAAAGTACCCCAACCCCCCGATGACCGATGTTACACTTGCGATGTAAATCTGCAAGATTATTTGTAAACATCTCCCCGCGTTTACGACGCGATGAGCCCCCAAGACCCTTGCAGATTCACTGGCAAATGAGAATGAAGCGCATTTGGGCGAGCCCCTAAATTATTCTGCGTTGTGAGGGAAGAGACATTGACTGGCAGCTTACCCGGACGTCAGTCTTCGTCAAACTATGCCAGCTCTGCCACAAATGTCAACGCTGGAACAACGGCGCTTGGATGATGGGCAGGGCTCACGTGAGGTTCATGAATATTAAATTAGGAACGGACTACTTCCTCACAGGGGATGGCTGTCGGAAAGACCACCGGCTGTGTGATATAACGTTACATGTACTGGAATATGGTTCGTACCTATCTATATGATGGAAGTTTAGAAAATAAAGCTGTATTAACCATAACGTTAGCCATTGTTAACGCAGCCCCGGTCCGAACAATCTGGTGTGCCTGGGACCAAGGAGCTTCTATCAACTTTGCTGGGACAGAATTGTTTTTACAGAATATTAGGCAAATATATAAAAAGAAAGTTACTGATAACTCATTACTAGTAACTTGATTAATTCTTTGATTCAAGGAGGTTTAAAATCAAATGTATTCAACCTCCTTGATTAATTCATTCGTTCGTTCGTTGAAAAAAGAGCTCAAACCTGCAGCAGATTCTAACTTCTAGAATTGAATCAATTTCATCAGCTTATAATTCGGAAAAAAATTACGAATTTAGGGCCCCCTTCCGTTAAATGAATATGCAAAGTTAAAATCAAATTTTGAATTATTTGTTCATCATACAATTTTTATTACAAAGTCAAAGAGTTCTGAGTGACATGCAAGGCTACTTTTCGACTTGTACGAACACCCCCTCCTTATCACTACGTTTGGAACAGTCCACCTGATGTTGATGATAAGCGGCACTTCGGTGTGAGACCAGAGAGTTCATGGCGGCCAAAATGAACAACTCTGACAGTCGTGGTACTCAGTATGGCAGGAAGAAGACGGTAGACCCTAACCCTAACCCTCTGTTCTTACAGTGGCTTACTGAGTGGCGAGATGAAGCTGTGGCAAAAGAACGTACTAGGCTGCAGTTCACGTACCAGAAGGTAAACAGATGGATAATTTGTTTTCATAGACTTCTTCAGGCCTGGACTTCTTCTACTTTCTAGTTGTTACAATTTTTTTGCTTTCAGAACTTTGATCTCTGTAAACCCTCTTGTTGTTTTCCTTGTTTCAATAGAAACCTCCTGTAATCACATTTATTTAGCTTGATATCCTTGCCATCTATTTTTTTTTATTTTGTAAGGTAATGAATTCTTTCATGATCAGGACAGATGGGAATAATTAACTTTCTGCTGTAACGTTAACGTTAACGTTGCAGGCAATCAAGTCTCTGCAGAAGTATCCGTTACCACTGCGGTCTGGAAAGGAGGCAAAGATATTGGATTTCTTTGGTAAGTCCAGATCAGTCAACAGAATAATTCACTGGTGTGTTCAAAAATTGAAGTTTCAACATCTTGAAAGGCAGCTTTAGCCCTCAACGGCTCAGATTTAATCATATGCATTCATTGTACATTGTAATTATTTAAATAGTCACTGTGACACACTTTCAAAGGACACCCTGCCACCAAAAATGAAATAAAAAGAACTTTTTAGAATTTTCAAAGAGATCTTTAAATCACTTCTAGGCTATTAAAGATACCTGGCTGAAGACATTAGAATTTGACAGCTAACGTTAGTCTTTATGGGTCGTGCAAAGAGCATGTAAAAAGTTAAACAATATTTTCCAGGTGACAAAATTTGCAAAATGTTGGATGACAAGCTTGCCAAACACATCCAAGAGAATGGTAAGTTAAGAATTCATTTCAAAATTGTTATTGTCTATTGCCTACTTATGGGTCATTCTCCTCAGCTTTCTTTGATTTAATATACAAATATCGATGCCTTCATTTAGTACTATACAGAACTGGCCTCTTGATATTTATCATAATTCTGAAGCAGTATACTACATATAACGTTAGTATCTTTAACTTAAAGTTTAGGTATGCAAGTTTCTCTCAAAATTTCTTCAGGCCCTTTGGCAGAAGTTGAAGACACCCACCTTCCCAGTACCAGCAGCACTAACACAGGAGTAATACAGGGTTCCCTATGTGTCCCCCCGCGCCCTGGTGGTAATGGCAACAGCCAAGGTTCCAGTGGGGAACCAAGACCAGTAAGTACTGCAAGCACTGCAAGTGGATTCCTTATGTGCAGATCTTGTGAATAAATAAGGTTCAAACAAACAAACAAACAAACAAACAAACATCTCACAAAGTCACAGTGTAAGGAAGGAATTGCTTTTTGAGTTATTTTGAAGACACTCTAGCTTTTTTTAAAGACAACTGACCCAAAGTTTTTAAATACAAAACTTAAAAGGTGCATAACAGACTTTCCCACTATGTTCTGGAAAAAAATCTTGTCAATCATGGTTTGTTTAGGAAATAACTCTTATGTGGTGCTTGAATAACTTTTTTTGCAGAAGAAGAGAAAGAAAGCTGGAGGTACAAAGGAGTATGTACCAGCCTTCAGATCTGGACCCTATGCACTTCTGGTCACTCTCTATAGGAACATGCAGGTGGGGAGGAGGTTGTTAAATAATATTCCAAATTCCAGTGTGCTAAGAGTGCCTCCATTTGTCAAGTTTGTAGTAATGTAATGGTAGTTGATATGTGTCCACTCTCCTGTTTACTGGTATTAGAAGCAATACCTGACTTTCCTAACGAGCTGATTGAAGGATGACCAGACAGCAAAAAGTAAACAATGGACATGCTTGTTCTAACATCACAGAATCCCAACAGCAGAGGGTTTATGGGAAGAGCAGAGCTACAGAGGGAGGCCCAACCTCTGTGTGACAAGTCATTTACCCTGGTAAGTATATGGGCTTTGCTGTTTATATGTTAATTTGCAAAACCTTACCCCAGTAATATTGAGGGTGAATACATCATAGTACATCCATGTAATTTATAGCACTGCAGTGTTTTCTTAGATACTAGAAAACAGTATAAAATGTCATTACTGGTTATCATCCCTTAGCCAGACCCAGGCAGCCACTATACTGCATGGTCTTCTATGGGTGGACTTGTGAAGAAGGGACTGGTCATCAAGGACAGCAACCCTGCCAAGTATGTAACTAATATATATATTTATGTTAAACTTGTTGTAATTATATTTCAGTCCATACCATGGTATGGATGAAATATATTGTGTTCCCTCATGTTTCTCCTCCTCCTCCTTCTCCTCCTGCCAAACAGTCAAAGGGATTCAACTCAGCCATCATTCAGCCAAATGACCTGAAATTTGGCATGGAGGTGGAGTGGGCAAATACCCCCAGACGTTTTTTTCATTTTTTTGAAACATGCCTTTGAAAAATTTTTATGAAGGTTTTTTGGGGCATTTTTCGAAAAAAAATGGATTTTTGGATCCTGAGCCCTGGTATTACAACCAAATGATCTGAAATTCGGTATAAGGGTACCTTGAACGTGTGTCTACAGAATAGTAGTCACATATTTGGCATACACCACTTCCAAATGACTCATTTGGGGGACTTTAATGGCTATTTTCAGCAAAAAAGGGCCAAAAGTGCTGTACCCGTTCCATGTTCTATCTAAAGAATGGCCGGTTCCATCCATGGAACACGTGTTCCATTGCGGGTTACCTGAGGTCACATTGCACCTAAGTGGTGCGTGATGACCCACAAATTCAATTTTATGTGCCTAAGACCTTCAAAATGTATCAAATCTCATCATTGTTAGTTTTTGCATACCTGTAATAAGATTAGTAAAGCTTTTGAGATTCAAAGTACTTGTTCTTGCATCTTTGTTCTCATATAGCTACTATTTAATTCATTTATTTGAGAACCTTTGCCAGTTTTACACTGGGGTAAGTTTGGAATAGTCCACTTTTGCGTGGGAGGGAGATGGACTGAAATATGCTGTATTTGCTCCCAAGCAAATGTCGGCCTTTCTAGTGTTTAAGTTTCTTTTTATTTCACTTCCTAGTTTCTGGAAGTGATTTATTTCGACAAAGCCTTTGAGATGCATATGGGGTAAAATGATTTGTAGTGTGATTAAAATAGGACAAGTCATAACAAAATGAAGTTACAATGAATGACTCAATGAGTTATTGTGATTGATTTCTGCTACCCAGGTATTATATCACAGACACAGGGAGTGAGCTGGCCCATAAGTTAGAGCTGATTGGTGAGCAGGGAGTGAGTGGGTCCAGCCCACAGGATGACAGTGAGGACATGGCTTTTACCCTGACAGGACCAGGCAATGCTGCACTGACAGCTGGCCTTAATGCTGAAAGGTACATGGTTTGTTAGGCATCAGCCTATCCATAAAAAATAATGTCCTCCAAAGACACGTACATTCCTTTCTATGTAGTGTCAGTCTGCTTGAAGTGATTTGGAAATGTTGCCCCACAAAAGTTACTGTACATGGTCTATGTCTGGTCTTTCCTGAGATTGATGGCCAGCCAATAATTTGTATTTACACATTGTAATTATGCTGTTATCAGCTGCTCTGACCAAGTGTCGACTTTTATCTGATAGACCTGAGAGGTGTATAGATGTGCCGTCTTTGCCAGCCATGAGTGTTAGTTCCAACATAAGGAGAGATGTTGGTCAGGCTGCCAGCGAAGCTGTCATATCTGAGATGGACACTGACGGTGAGGGCTCAATTTTGTGTGCGCTTAGTGGTGTCCTTGCCCTTGATGCACTTGTATTGGTACTAGGACTGGTATGCAGGGATCTCTGTGTGCATAAGTCTGAATATTACTCTTGATGTAATGGTAATTCTTATCCAGGACAGAGTAATATTGTAATATAGGCTTAGGAATGACCTAGGAAACTGCCTTATAAATTACCAAATATGATGATTGTTTTTTATTTGATCACACACCTGTATCTGCACATTAGTAAAATCCTTAGTAAGTTGTTGTAGATCAGGGATATCACAGACTTTAGTTTCAGAAGTCATCATTCTCTCCATCTTTATTGACAGATTCTCAAGAAAGTGTAACATGTAGATCTAAGCAGCCCTTGTTCACCCTCTATCCAGGTCAGTGGAGCCTTGTCATCAGGCATATATTTTATGATCTTCATCGATATATTTGCCATTTTTATTACATTGTAGTGGTTTCTTATTTATGCTGAATATGCAGACAGTTCACAAATTCACCTGGTTATGCTTGTATTTTTTTGCTTGCAGGTGAATTTGAAGTGGTGCTGTGTGTGGACACTCAGGAGACCACAGGAGGGTAAGTAATTATTGAATTCTTTAATAGTTACTATAGATAAAATTAAAACCTTTCTATGTACAGAAAATAGGAGACTACTGCATTCTTTAAAGGTCCTGCTAGGTATCACTTTTCTACATTCCTTTATGTAGGGAGACTGTAGTCAAGCTTGTCTGACCCACTGATCAGTGCTGAGTGTACAGATCTCACAAGTTGGTTGCTTCCACAGTGCTGCAGGCAGCAGGAAGGTTAACCTGGTCCCAGAGCTGCTGAAGAACAGTGTGAGATGTGATGTGAGGAATCTGCACGTTGGAGACTTCCTCTGGGTGGCTCGGGAGAAAGTCAGACCTCTTCCAGGTCAGAGATTAGGTTTTACACAGCTTCTAAGCAGTCTAAGATGAAATTACAGAGTTTTGACAGACTATGTTTGTGTGGAATCATTCTGGATATTTTTGGAATTATTTTCTGCATTGTTACACAGGCCAACTCCATCCACCCGTACCCAGAGAGCTGGTGCTAGACTATGTGGTGGAGCGGAAGAGAATGGATGATCTGGCAAGCAGTGTCAAGGGTAGCCGGTTCAAGGAGCAAAAGGTGACCAAGTCAAAAGTAATCATGTCAAGTTTGATGTCTTCTCAAGTATATTGAACAGTATCATGACTGTAATATCAACAACAACAGGTATTGTAAAAATTTAGACTACTCTAGTATGGTTGTAAGATGCTCATTTTGCCAGCATCATGTCAGCGTTCCCATGTGTTCTGATTGTGCAGTTCCGACTGAAGATGAGTGGACTGAGGAAACCCATCTACCTGGTGGAAGACTTTGGCTCCTCTGCACAACACTTCTGTCTTCCTGAAGCTACTCTGCAACAAGCAATAGTTAACACCCAGGTTTGGATTGGTTTATGTAGTCATCGATGTCAATTTTTTAAATTCTAATACCTAAACATACATACATACAGTTATAAAGGAGTGTTGTTTTCAACCTAAATATTGCAGACCTATATCCATGTACACTTACATCTCATCACTTGATGTCCTAGTTTCAGTTTTTTAATCCACAAATGGAAAATGTTTTACCACTGATGTGAAACTAAGAGTAAGATCTTTCTTCAAGACAAGTCAGACATCTTGAGTTCTTGTGACTGTTTCAGGTGAACGATGGTTTCTTTGTGAAGAGGACATCAGACATGAAGGGATCTGTCACCTACCTCACACTGATGACTCATTATCTGCAGAGCCACTATGCTGTAAGTGGTCAAAACACTTCCTACGTAACAAATGTGTGTTGAATTCATTCTTGCTTCACATCCTACAATATATTCAACTATTTCATTTATCTATCATTGTACTGTTGATTCCTGGTTGAAAGGGGAAGACCCTTGAAGGCTACAGCCAAGAAGACTTACAGGACCAGTCGTCAGACCTGAAGCTTGATGCCAGTGTGATCAAACTGCTGACTTTTCCAGAATTCAATGAGACATCAGTTAAGAACAGGGTGAGGATTTGATTTAAGAATAGTTGCTTAAACTTGAATTGATCATTCAGTTTTATTATTTCATGGCCAGCGTCACAAAAGCACCCCCTTTACATTATTACCAACCCTACATACAATAGCACTGTAGCAGGGTTGTCACTTCTGGGTTTTGCCACAGCTTTTCTAGAGTTACTTAAAAGAGGTAATCAGGAATAATTTTTTTGCTCTCAGTGTTTTGGCCATTCTTCAAGGAAAGAGACCTAAACATGTTCAAAACCTAAGGAAGAGACTAATCAAATGTTGAAGAAGGTTGTATCTGCAGCTTTGTTGTATGTGAGATTGACATCAGATTAAAATCATTGTTTACAGGTGATGACTGTAAAGGAGATGTTTGCCAAGCAGCTGATGCAGTTCCATGGCATGTCCAAGGAGAAAGTGGCAGCAGTG